GTGGCCTTATGACACACTTCCGGTGATGTCAGGGGGTGTGGCCTTATGACACACTTCCGGTGATGTCAGGGGGTGTGGCATATGCTGAGTTATGCTAATGAGTTCCCCTAGCTCTTTTTCTACGAAACGACCCCTGATTCTGTTATGTGAGCCCCCGCCCCCTGTTTGAAATCTTACAGCCCAGGAAACAAATTCTTCCATTCACCATCAAACACACAGAATGTCGTATCTACAATCTGAAACCAAATCCATCCTTTTCAAGTGAATAACAGACCTCAGGTTAGTGATAATATTATGGAGAAAGGATGTAGCGCTAACAAATCATTTAATGTATCAAACAAACCAATCTCATTAGATGGGAGCTAATCAGTTTTCCCACTGATTTGAAATTAAAATCAACAAAATCAGTATGTGCCAAAGCGACTGGCTACTGTGATAACTGCAAATTCAGGCTAGTATTAGCAATACTGAGAATACTACTAAGCAAGAAATTGCAAGTAGATAAATAGGTACCACTTCGGTGGGAAGGTAACAGCGTTGGCGTCAAGTCATGCCGGCCACATGACCATGGAAACATCTCTGGACACGGCTGGCTCTTCGGCTTGGAAACGGAGATGAGCACCGCATCCCTAGAGTCGGATTTGACTGGCTTTCAAGCAAAGAAAACCTTTACCTCTCAAAGGCAAGGCAATTTTTTTTTTTGAAAATTGTCTCCATAAAGATAACAAATAGGAGGACAAAAGAATGCCATGCTGTAAATCATTTCAGAGTTCCTCGGAACCATATGAAGAAAGCTCTGCTTCTCACAGTGGCAAATCCAGCACCACATAAAGTGATATTTTCTGCCAGATATTATTGACTGATCATAAAATCTGAGGAGGTACATATATAAAAAAAGATGCTTTCAGATAAGCAGGACCCAGAACCTTTAGGGCACAACTGTGTTTTCTTTGGCACAATCGCTTTAATCTATCCTGTGAGTTGTTATTTACATGCCAAGATTAAACGATGTGGGGAAATGCGTCATGTCTCCGATGGAGTCCCGTCTGTTTCTTGTCACTCTTGTCACAATGAAAAGATATGAAATCTGTTTTTAAAAAATGGAATTAAAGAATTAAAATAGCTTTTTGCCCTTGCTATGTTCAACTGCAGTCCCTTTGGAACACTGAAAGCGCCTACTAGCAGTAGTTAAATAGCTATTAGCTGCTGAGAGAAGTTCCTCATGCTGCGTTCTTTTTGAGAAGAAGAAGAAGCCATAATAGTTATATAAAGCCTCATTTTAGCTAGGTTTGCTTACAACTAGATCCTACCAGTCTGAGTACAGTTTTCTCCCGAGTGTGAATGCAGTCTTGGAAATGAGCAAATTTGTGCTATCCATGTTTACTCGGGACTTTGTCGTGCTGAGTTCAATGCTACCTATGCATAGGACTGTAGCCCTAGTGGTGGGTAACCATCTCATCTTTTTAGTTTTTTCTTTTCCTTTTAATGACGTGGGCATTCACACACAAAACAGAGGCTGATTTCACACTAGAGCTGCCTCAATGTTGCGCCGCCGTTTGCCCCGATACTATTGGTCAATTTTACACCCGAAGCTGCGGTCAAATGCTGGGGTCAAATGCAGCCCCGCGGCTTCAGGCGTGAAATTGACCAATAGTATCGGGGCAAACAGCGGCGCAACATCGAGGCAGCTCTAGTGCGAAATCAGCCAGAATGTCAGATGCTTCTGTCTCCGATTTATATTTTCACCATTTTACATGGAGTCCTGTAGATGTCACTCTAACATTGTAGACGGTAGAAAAGGTAGCCCTAGGCTTGGCCTTACCCTACACACAGAACCCTGATAAAAGTGTCATCAGTCTTTGATAGTAAATTATACTGGTTCAGTTTTAGTGCGATTTCTAATGCTTCTCTATCAGTAGCATGTATCTAATTGAAATCTGAAGGCAGGGCTCGAATACTTAGCTGAGTAAAAATGACTATAATTTCCAGACTTACTTCACTCCCAGTCATTAGCTGCACTGACGACATGTGCAAAACGTTCATAAATATTCCAGTTGCTGAGGAGTGTTATGAATACACGTTCATTCTGACTTTGTATCCAGAGACCAGTAAATCCAAAGTCTGGATTATATTCATATACTGAATAAATGTGTGGTCATGAGAATATCTCAGTAGGGATGTGCGCTCGCATATAACTGAGCTAAATATATATCCAAAAAACACCCTATTGGTATTTTTATATCCCAAATGCATCCTGGATTTTTCAGGATACAGAAAAATGGGTCCTGAAATTTTCAGAAGTATTCAGGTTTAACTGGGAATACTGGGAGCTGACATTTGAAGGCTTCTGGGACTGTGCCCCCCCCCCGACTGTTTCTGTGTCTCCTGGGACTTGGTATTGGCTTGCAAAGCTGCTATAGGTAACATTCTCTCAGTTTCAGGTGTTTTTGTTGTGTTTTTAAAAGTTCATTCTTTGCTGGAGTTAGTTTGTGTTCGGTTCGCAGAGAATTTTTTTTGGTGGTGCATGCTCACATTTTACATTGATAGTCTTGTTTTTTACATAGGACAAGATTTGTGTGTTTTACCTGGTTTTGAATTCTTGGGTTTTACATGGTTGGGCTTGGTGATAGCCTTCCTCTGGGGGCGGATTCTCAAGTTTCACATTTTTTGCAGGGTTGTTTTTTTCCCCCTCCATAGGAAACAATGGAGGATGGCTAGGGAGGCCCCTTGTTCAGGGGCCCGTAGAATTGGATACTTTGGTCCAACTGACTTAAAATTTAGGAGTTATTTAAAGAACAGGCACCAGCAGCTCCCCTGCAACTTTGGTGCCAGCCCCCAGAAATATTACTCATGGACATGAAGAATATTAGAAAACTGGAGAGAAAAAATCTGAATACCATACTGATGTTTGGAAACTTGGAATACCAATATTTTCCAGCTCCAATATATCTGAATTTTTTAAAAAACAATTTTTTCCTCTGCACACCCCTATGCCTTAGCACAAACTCCCATATGGTTTATGTGTGAACTGTGAATGCAACTGAATGTATATGTGTATACAAAAAAGTAAGGTAGGTTCATATGCAGTTGTCAGGGATGCTCTAGGCCAGTGATGGCGGACCTTTTTGAGACCGAGTGCCCAAACTGCAACCCAAAAGCCACTTATTTATCGCAAAGCGCCAACACGGCAATTTAACCTGAATACTGAGGTTTTAGTTTAGAAAAAACAACTCATACATTAACATAAGACGATCCGAACAAAGTAAGGAAAGCAATCCCAAATGCTTTCATTTACTTAAAGTTATTTGGCAGAGAATTCCACACTTTAATGACGGTCTGGGCCTGGCTGGGGCGATGGCACGCGTGCCCACTGAAAGGGCTCTGAGGGCCGCCTCTGGCACGCGTGCCATAGGTTCGCCACCACTGCTCTAGGCTGATCCTGCATTGAGCAGGGGGTTGGAGTAGATGGTCTGTATGACCCCTCCCAACTCTGTGATTCTACGATTCTATAGGTTGTCCTTAGGCTGATTTGCCTAAGAGTGTGGGAAACCTTGTGACAGGGACTGGAAACCTTAAAAGACAGTGTGCCGTTAAGTAGAATGGGAGCACAGGGGCAAGGATATTTGAAAGGCTGGAGCTAGGAAATCAAAAAAACAATGAGAGTTTCATCCAGTCATTTTGAAATAATAAGTCAGGTCTGGTTGGAAATCTCTAATGAGGCCCACTTGAATAGCACAGACATTTATTAGTTGCGTATGTAGCCAATTCATCGTATTTCGCTGTATGTAAAAAAAAACCCATTAATTTTCAGTTCCGTGGTGATGATTTCATAGAGCTTGTATTTCATGGTGCTCTAACTCTTACGGGGAGGGGAGGTAGTTAAAATGCACATAGAATTCAATTTCGTTTCATCTTCACTTGGTTCCTTGTAAACACCGGTCTTCACAAAATACAACTGTACGCATGATGAAATATAAAGTTAACACACATGGAAAAGTTTGCAGCCAACGAATTAAATTACTTTCTGATGAAATGGTCCCCTCGACAGTAACATTTTAGATGTCAAATTTATTTCCGGTTTGGCGCTGCTTGAACAAAACAGCAACTTAACATGTCGCAATGTCCAAACAAGACAGAAGGAAACTGATTTTCTTTCGCCACAGACCCCCATAACAAACATTCCAGTGGTATTTCAGATACAGCCTTGGTTTTGGTGAGACACACCATGGGCAATACATAGCGAGTAAGGTCCTCAAGTGGTGCGGTGAGCTGCGGTGGCTCAAGTGGTTAAGACGCTGAACTGCAGGCTGTGGAAGGTCAGTAGTTCAGCAGTTCGAGACCCACGTGCCGCATGACGGAGTGAGCTCCCATCTCTAGCTCCAGCTCCTGCCAACCTAGCCGTTCGAAAGCGAGAAAATGCAAGTAGATAAATAGGTACCACTTCGGTGGGAAGGTAACAGCGTCCCGTGCGCCTTGGTGTTTAGTCATGCTGGCCACATGACCACGGAAACGTCTTCGGACAGCGCTGGCTCTTCGGCTTTGAAACGGAGATGAGCACCGCAACCCTAGAGTCGGATTCGACTGGCTTTCAAGCAAGGGAACCTTTACCTTTACCTTTTTAAGGTCCTCAAACACATTTAGACCACGGAAACATAGATGACAGTTCATGAGGGTTCTTGCATGCCTTCTCTTCCGAAAGGCAGGTCCCTTTTTTTTTTTTTTGCAAGGGTAGGGTCATGAAAGCTTTCCTTAAAGGAGCACAATCAGTTAAAATAGATACATCACTTCTGCAAAATCACGGAATTCAGATAATGGCGATCGACGCTGGAGTGGCCTACAGATGCTGTTATAGCTGGATTTCGATTGGAGAAAATGTGTGACTTTCTCCCAGAAGATCTTGCAACGCTAACAGGTCATTAAATATGGATCAAGGGTCTAATGTGTTTTCTTGCTTTTCCCATACAGGAGAAGTCACATTTAACTACAAAGGGATCAAAATCGATGAAAAAGAAGAAACCACCTGATTCCTCAGGTTAGACGTTTTACTCCTTTTTGAATTCCGGAGCCAAGGCCATCGTCGGTGCAGCCTTCTTTACCTTTGGCCTCTTGATTATGGGGTTCTGTGCCAAGCTTACACCTCTGCGTAGTGGTATTGTCAGCTGACTCTCCCGCCAGCATAACCGAAGATTATTCCTGTAATCAGATCAGCCGGTTTATTTACTAATTAAAATATTGTACAGACGATGTTTTAAAAATTGAGGCAGAGTTATGTTTTACCCAGCCGATTATCTGTTGCCTTAACCTATCATGGAATTCACTGCCACAGGAAGTGGTGGCGGCTACAAGCATGGACGGCTTCAAAAGGGAATTAGATAGGCATATGGAGCAGAGGTCCATCAGTGGCTATTAGCCACAAGGTATAGATAGGGACTCTGGGGCAAGTGATGCTCTGTCTTCTTGGTGCTTGGGCGGGGGGGGGTCAACAGTGGGAGGGCGTCTAGTGTCCTGGCCCCACTGGTGGACCTCCTGATGGCACCTGGTATTTTTGGCCACTGTGTGACAGAGTGTTGCACTGGATGGGCCTTTGGCCTGATCCAACATTGGCGTCTCTTATGTTCTTATCTGTGATTTCAGACTGTCAGAGGGGTTGTTTTTCTCATCGCACAGGTAACTTTAGATTAGCCTTGTCACTAGGGTACAACAAAATGAGGGGGGGGAATGTATCGATGCTGAAATCGTCGCTATATTTTAGTTCCTGGGAACCTGGCACGAAAACAGGACTGAGATTCAGAAGGATCTTTCTAATCTCTAAACGCCTACTTTGATGGGCAAGAGAGCACGAAAGTTTTTTTTTAATATTAATTTTGACAAAAGTGGATGTTTTCTGGAACAGGCTGGCCAGGCCCTATAATCTTCATGAATTGAACCTACATACCGTAGCTCCTGATCGAGATTTGTAACTGGAAAGCTGACGAAAGGAGCCCTTCTTTGTAGGTCCCTCTGCTAATGGGCTATTTCTCAAAGGAACCCTACTCGCTTAGGGTCTGACTGAACGCGGCTGAGGGTCAATGAGGGCTGTCAACCCACACACATCACGCCACATCTCCCCAGTAATTTTTAAGCTAGATTGCGATGTGACCTCTTCACACTTTTAACACTTCGCCGCACTTCAGACGTAGCAACCCATGAAATGAACTAGGGATGGAGAAGCAATGAACATGATGATGTCATGGATTCAGGTGGGGCAGACGTGTCGGACTGAGGCAGCAGAGCGGAATTTGAGTGAAGTGGCACCTTTGAGGCCAACAAAGTTTTATTCGAAGTGTAAGCGTTCGTGTCCAAAACACACTTCTTCAGACAAAACTGGAATGAGATCTCAAAAGCTAGTTACGGGGGGGGGGGGAAAGCGGGCGGGGGGAAGCTGTTAGGAGAGGCCACTCATAGCCCGGATGCAGATACAGAGCCGAAATTGGAACGGGTGGCCTGTAGGGTCAATGGATGGCAGCAGATTAGCACGTAAATGCAAGAGTTGACAAAGAGATGTGAGAATGAAATTGGAGTCCAGCAGCACCCCCAAGAAAAACCAAGTTCAACCCTGTGTGCATGACAGAACAGAGACTCAGCATGTGCACTCTTCTTCACATGCGTTCAAACAGATTTTCTCAAATATTATATGCATGTGGGGGGGGTAGTCTCCAGGAAGAGCTAGTTAGAGTCAAGATGTGTAAGTAACTGAGCAATAAATATAGCTAAGACTGGAGTAACACATATAGTGGGACATGTAAATAGCAGCAAGTTGGCATACAGATAATAAAGGAGTTAGCAACAGATGTGAGAATCAAGTTTGAGTCCAATGGCCTTTATAAGACCAACAAAGTTTAATTGCTGGATGACTTCGTGTGTGTAGTGAGATAGGAAGCTGATATCTCTGTTGAGCCCTGGGGGGTCCCATTGTCCTAAGTCATGATGATGTCATGTCACTTTTCTCATTGAACGTGGGAGAAGATGGAGTTGTTGTTGTCACACATTTCATCTAACCAAGTATTTGGCCCTTACAGAATTAAATATTTTATTGACTAGATGGCATATTTCACTGCTTAGAAATCCAGGGCTTCTGATAAGCATTTCATGTCTTTCTTGTGGGAAAACCAGTTGCTTTCAAAAGGAGGATACAGATACCTAACCTGTAAGCAAGTGAAACTAGATTGGACACATGAATAATTATTTTGTACAAACAGTTGGTATTTTCTGTTTGGTTCCAGAGGAATCCGATGAGAAGACTCACACAGAAAAGGTTCATAAACTCAACAAGGAGAATACAACCACTGTTTTTGGTCAAAGAGGTGCCTCTATATCTTATGATCATGGATCAGTGCAGGATGCAGACGAAATCAATAGCAGTGTCTGGAAAAGCACTCTTCAGAAGACAGCAGAGAAAAGCCAGGGGAAAGCAAATGCAGCGGGTGGTGCTAGTAAAAAACCCAGTGGTTGTGACATTAAGGGGGGCTCACTCAGATTTGTAACAGAGCAGGAGGTGCCTGAAGCAAGTCAGAGGAAAGGAGAAGAGGAGGTTGAAAGAAGAGAGTCTCACAGTGCCGATGAGAGGAAAGGACCAGAAACCGCATCCTGTAGTGGAGATACAGCAGAAGATCGTGAGGACCCATCAGAAACCCAGGGTCAATGTGTCAGGTATGTTGCAAATATTCCCGCGGTACTTATCACCCTGTAGTGGCCTCCGTGTACATTCACAGAAGACAGACAGAAACAAAGTTCATGGGCAATAGATTCAGAAGGGATGAAAGGACGTCTTTCTTTAACTAATGATTAATTAATTAGGAGCTGCGGTGGCTCAAGTGGTTAAGACGCTGAATTGCAGGCTGTGGAAGGTCGGTAGTTCAGCAGTTCGAGACCCGAGTGTGCCGCATGACGGAGTGAGCTCCCGTCTCTACTTCCAGCTCCTGCCAACCTAGCAGTTCAAAAACAAGACATTGCAAGTAGATAAATAGGTACCACTTCGGTGGGAAGGTAACAGCGTTCCGTGCGCCTTGGTGTTTAGTCATGCCGGCCACATGACCACGGAAACGTCTTCGGACAGCGCTAGCTCTTTGGCTTTGAAACGGAGATGAGCACCGCAACCCTAGAGTCGGGCTCGACTGGCTTTCGAGCAAGGGAACCTGTTTACCTTTTTTAATTAACTGTCATTTGGTAATGCTTTGGGCAGGATCACGATTCCGGATTGTGTCAGAGCTCTCTCACAGGTGGACTGCAAGGCTCAAACTCTGCGCTGGGAAAGCTGGCTCTGAGAAATCTATGGAAACCACGGGCCTCCCCCTTTCACTGGCAGAAGTGCCTTTCCGTATTCAAGGGCCCCAGTGTCTGAATCCACACAATGAATTCTTTTAAAAGTCTGACTGATGGCACAATAACCCTATTAGTAAGAATAGGCAAACGTATCCACTGATTTAGCACTGAGTTGTCATACGCATTAAAGTTATAAGTAGATTATTTATTTAAACATGAGTCCTTCCTGCCCAAACTCAAATGGCTCAGCATGAATAACATTTTTAAAAGCAGAGCAAAACATCCATCTAGGATACAGACATGATAAAAGGGTCTCCAGTGGACTTTGTACTTAGGCTGTGTCCCTTGGTGAGACTTGAATGAGTGCTGTAATTCCTAACTCGAAAGAATGGATATGTGTACAGTGGGCTGAAATGATACGGTTGTTTGCGGCCGTCTCACCCTTTGAAATGCTCTGACAGCGCGACCCTGAACAGAGTTATACCATTCTAAGGGCTCTTTTTGTAGAAAGAGCCCAGCAGGAACTCATTAGCATAATAGGCCACACCCAACAGCAGTAGCTCATTAGCATATTAGGCCACACCCCATGACAGCACAGCTCATTAGCACATTAGGCCGCACCCCCATGTTGCCAGAAGTGTGGTCATCCAGCCACACCCACCTTTTGCTTCTTATTCTGTTTACATTCTGTTTTCTGTGACCTCTGTGTACATATTCTTTCCCTGTTGCACCCGGCTTGGTTTCTATCATCCTACTCCTGCGTTGGAATGCAAAAGATAACTGCTGGAGGTTGTGTGGGGGAGAAGATGCTGTAATGCTTGGCTATTGCTTTTCCCATGACTACTGCACCTGTGTTATGTCTAATATCCTGCCTGGTTCCCATGGACTGGGCGCGCAACCGTTCCATTAGCCCGCCAGCGGGAAAGTTATTCATTGGACCTGTATCTCTTTGAAGTTCCTTTATTATGCTTGATCTAACTGTGTATCCCCAGTTCTAACAAAGAACGTGTTTGAGTATGTCGTCAACGCTTTGAAATAAATTTTGCTTTTCTTAAAACGTGGATTTATTCTCGATGCTTGGGGATCCAACATATTGTTAGAACTCTCTTTTTCCTATCGTTCCGAATCTGGCGAGATCATGAGCGGAATTGAGGGAAACCTACCTACCACGGAGGGGGACTCTGGATCGGTCCCACAAACCTCCGCGTCTTTGGTGTTCACGACTGCAGCCTCGTTGGAGGGTGCCGTGGGGGGAGCGATTCCCCGCCTGCCTGCACATCTGTCTTGGCCGCCTCCGACCCCTTCGCAATGGGGTCCGCGGAAGACTCACCAGCAGGATGATTGGACTATGTACAACACCCAGGGCACCCGTGAGGTGTACTCCCGTCGGGGGAGCGGATTACGTGAGAGTCTATTTGACAAGGGATTGTTCCCGGAGCCGGGGGCTACCTCGGAGAAGGGGAGCCCCGAGCGGGACCTCGAGGAGTGGATGTTCGAGCCGTCGGGACCGCGGGGCCACGCAGGAGATGAGGAGGGCACCGGAGTCTTCCCAACGGAAGAGGACTATGACCCACCCCCGGACTACCGCCCTCGGGACCCCATCCCGGAAGAAACCACCGGGGAACGACTAGCAGAACTGGAAGACTCGGTGAGAGACTTGTTGCGGGCATTCCAGGATGTGATGGAAGGTCTGCCGGGAATGATGGACGTTCGAATGGCTAATTTCCTTGACGCACACGCCGCGCAGCAACAAGTTGCTCCTGCACCGGGACTTCCCGCGCCGCCGATGCCTGCTCAACCGCTGACGGGACCACCGCTGCAAGCACCGGGAGTTCCAGCGCAGCAGGTACCTGTACAGCCGCCAGTGAGACCGCCTCTGCAAGTGCCTGTGCAACCGCCGATGCCGGGGGGTCCGCCGGTGCCGGGTCTGCCGCCACCACTGAGGCCAATGCCAGCGGGGCCACCGGTTGTGCCGGGTTTCCCTCCCAGGGGAGTTCCGGCTCAGCTGGGCCCGTTGGTAAGGCCTCCACGGCCCAGACCCAAGGATCTACTGGAGGCTACCTTCGACGGCAACCCAGATGAACTCGCTTTCTTCACGGTGAGGGTGCATAAATTCGTAGAAGAAAGTCGACACCTGTTCCGAAATGAAGCTGGTCTTATTGATGTCATCTCGGCAAGACTGAAAGGAGACGCCGCCACATGGTATGTTGGACTGCACAATGACCGCGGTCCGGAACTTTTGAATTTGCGAGCATTCATGTGGGCGCTGCGGGCGAGATTTGAAGATGTCAACGCGAGTCAAAGGGCTAAAGCGTTTCTCCGCACCTATCGCCAGAACAAGAAGTCGGTTCGCGAGTACACTCTGGAATTCCACAAGCAAGCCGCAAAGCTCCGAGACTACCCTGACCATATATTAGCTGAGATGTATCGCTTGGGTCTCAACGCAGATATCCGAGAAACGGTTCTGAAAACTGTCAACCCTGTCTCCCTAATGGCCTGGACCCAGGAAGCTGAAAATGCGGAAGACCGGCTCACCACCATCAAACTCGACCTGGCTGCTACGACCAACAGACCCGCCGCTGCCGGTGCCTCCAAACCCAAGCCTCAACGCCTGTCGGAATCAGCACGAGAACTACGTATGAAGATGGGGCTCTGTCTCAAGTGCGGGGAGAAGGGGCACTTCGCTGTGGATTGTGGCAGCCGTAAAGTACAGCCGCCTACTCCAAGCCCGAAGACACCGCTGACGGGGAAGAAGGGAATGGCTAAACCGCGTTTCTCCAAAGCTTTGCAGGCGGCCCAAGGCTCGGAGGGGAACGATCCGTCTGCTGCCGAGTCAGAAGAAGAGGTGGTGCCTGAAACGGCGGAAAACGACAACGGCCTGTTGTGAGAGGCGCAAAACGACAAGGCCATTCTAATGCTGCGCCCAAGGTGGTGAGAGAAACCCCTTCCCTATTTTTCGTGACTGTCTCATTAATGAATCCGCTCCTGGGAACCCACGTTAGGGTGAGAGCGTTGATTGATTCTGGGTGTGGGAGGGATCTCATCAGCCCTAGAGTGTTGTTGGCACTGGAAGCGGGGATAGCCCCCTTGAAGTCTCCCATCATTTTTACCCAGATGGATGGGGCACCCATGGAACCTTGTACGCACGAGACTATGGCTTTGCGGCTGGGGGCGGGCGATCATTGGGAATCCAGATCCTTCATTGTCACCCCTAAATCGCAATTCGACTTAGTTCTGGGGAGTCCCTGGTTGTTTACCCATGACCCTTACATCTTGTGGGAAGAAGGGGTTGTCAAGTTTGTGTCGGCTAAGTGTGTAAATCACTGCTGGGTGGACTCGTGGGGGGACCAGCCGACCGCGCAGTTCCCCTGCGGCACTTTGCAACCGGAAGAGTTAGCTTCTTTGCCTCGAGAGTATAGAGACTTGGCGAAAGTGTTTGGCGAAGAGGAAGCTAACGAATTGCCCCCCCATCGCTCGACTGACTGTGCTATTGAACTTTTGCCTGACTGTAAATTGCCCAAAGGTAAAATTTATGCGATGGGGCCGGCTGAGAAAGTTGAACTGCGGAACTTTATTGATAAAAACCTAGCCCGAGGTTTCATTCGCCCGGCTTCCTCCCCTTTCGCCGCGCCTGTACTTTTCCGAAAGAAGAAAGACGGGGGGCTCAGATTGTGCACTGATTATAGGGGTCTGAATGCTGTTTCTTTATCCAATGCTTACCCCCTCCCGCTAATCAAGGACTTGGTAGCTGAGGCCACCAAGGGCAAAATCTTCTCGAAACTTGACCTCCGGGATGCATATTTCCGTGTGCGCATCCGGGAGGGGGATGAAAGCAAGACTGCATTTAATACCCCTTTGGGGCAGTTTGAGTACCTCGTTATGCCCTTCGGCCTTCAAGGGGCTCCGGGGGTCTTCATGAACCTTATCAATGAGGTCCTACATGAGTTTCTATTCAAGGGAGTGGTCCTTTACCTTGATGATGTGTTGCTGTACTCTCAGGACCTCCCGTCGCATATTAAATTGGTGCGCAAGGTCCTTAAACGACTTTATGAACACCACTTGTTTGCAAAGCTGTCAAAATGTGAATTCCACAAGACATGCATTGACTTTTTGGGCTATCGCATCTCTGGGGGGACGGTTGAAATGGACCCTGCTAAAATTCAAGCTGTACTTGACTGGGAGCCCCCCAGGACCCGCAAACAATTGCAAATGTTCCTCGGATTTGCCAATTTTTACAGAAATTTCATCCAGAATTTCGCTCAAATTGCCCTTCCCCTGACTGATTTGCTCAAAACCAAGGGAAAGGGGTTTGATGCTACGAAACCAGGCGCCCCGCTTAAATGGTCCCCTGCTTGCGCAGAGGCTTTTGAGAAACTTAAACTGATGTT